ATACTTAGCCGAAATGGATCTTGGCCGTCTTAACAAGTTTGTAGTAAGCACAAAGCGTTTCGTCGACTTGTAAGGGTCTTTTGATCCAGATTTTAGGAGTTTTGTAGGTATCACAACGGACCGGCGTCTTAAGCTGTCCAAGTGGGATCCCTTTTTGGGATCGACCTCCTAACCTAACCTAACCTAATCCTAAACGGAGAAAATCATATGCTAATCCGGGACAACCATAAACATTGACTGTAAAAACAAATCGATTCGGTAAGAAGGAAATGCTATGGCTTTGTTGGGATCAGAAGGGCGTGGTATATCATGAGCGTCTTAAACCTGGTGAAACTGTTAATACTAATCGCTCTAGACAAGAAATGATTAACTTGAACCATGCATTGATCCAAAAACCATCAGAATGGGCCAGAAGATACGGCAAAGTTATTTTGTTACACGACAATGCACCTGCACACAAAAGAAAATCGGTTCAGGATACAACAAAGCTGGCTAGGAGCTGCTACCCCATCCGCCGTATTCAGCAGACTTGGCCCCATCCGATTACCATTTGTTTTCATCGATGGGACACGCATTGGCACCTTGGGAAGTAACGTTGGCCTTACCTCGACGGAAACGACTTCGACCAAACAAACCGTGAAGCGCAAGAGTGAGCAGCTGACGCCAAAGGAGCCGCCTAACACAAAGCGACAAAGAGGCAACAATGCGCAGGTGACCGGAGGTAACAACTCCGACCCGAACACTTCGCGAGCGGTGGAGGGACAGCGCAGATCGTCCTGATGAGGAATAGCCTAGCGCTGGCATATATCCCGGACTCTTGGCACATTGCAAAGGTGATCTTCATACCCAAGGTAGGAAGGAAAGACTACTCGTTGGCAAAGTCCTTCAGGTCAATCAGTCTTACTTCCTTTCTACCTACTTAAGAGTATGGAAAAGATCATTGATCGCGAAATGAGATCGAAGGTACTGAGGACTGCACCGCTACACGCAAAGCAGGATGCTTACAGAGCAGGCAGGTCAACCAATACTGCTCTGTATCAGCTAACCTCAGAAATCCGAAGTTCATCAGTGGGGTGTTGTTATGAGGCTTCCTAGACATCGAAGCTGCTTTTGACAATACATCTTACGAAAGCGTGTCAATAGCAATAGAGAAAAGGAATGTGGCAGCACCGGTAGGCAGATGGATTGAAGCCGTACTGCGCACCAGGATAGCTGAAACCACAGTAAGTGATACCAGAATTCGTCTTGGCACAACAAGAGCTGTCTAAAGGGTGGAGTGCTATCCCCCCTACTTTGGAGCCTAGTTGTGGACGATCTGCTTCAGCTGCTAACAAGCAATGGAATCCGCTGTCAGGGATATGCAGATGATATTGTTATCTTAGCCAGGGGTAAGTTCGTAGACACTCTCTGCGATATTGTACAAAGGGGATTGGGGCTGGTAAAGGGGTGGTGTAGTGGGATTGGCTTAAACATCAACCCCTCTAAAACTACAATCATAACGTTTACCAGGCGCAGGTTACTGCCATTGAAAGCAGCATGTGGACCTGACCTTAGCCAAAGCTACGAAAGCGTTCATGGTGTGCAATCGACTTGCTGGGTAATAATAGGGCTGCACCCAAGGATTATCAGATGGTTGTACACCATGATTGTGAGACCGATCATAACATATGGAGCGGTGGCTTGAGTTTCCAAACCATCGCAGACTTCGGTAGGACTTCAACTATCGAAGCTGGAACTCACACCTTTACATATAGTGATCGAACAGACGTCCAAACAGACCCTGCTTCAAATGACAACAGAAGGATTTGGCAAAGGGAAGGTAATCTCGTCCCAACAGATGAGGATCCTAAGCGATGAAATGCCACTAGCCCTTCTCCCAAGGGACAGCATTACCAAAGCAGGAAGTTTCACTAGGAAGTTCAAGGTTACCCTTGGAAGTAAGGCGAAATTGAATGATTTCACGCTAGACCTACTGCAAAGGGATAGTACTATCAAGTATAATACCGACGGCTCGAATACATCGGCGGAGATTGGTGTAGGGGTTGCAGGACCACGCACAAAGCTCTCCATTCACGTGGGAAGTTTTCCTAGCATTTTCCAGGCGGAAGTATATGCTATAAGTCGGTGTGTAGAAATAAACCTTCAACGCAACAAATCGCTCTTAGTGCATAGAACAGCTGAACAGCCTAGCAAACCACAATAGAGTGCATTTCATTTGGGTGTCTGGTCACAGGGGTATAGCCGGAAATGAACTGGCTGACGAGTAGGCCCGCTCTGCAGCCTCTACAAAAATGGTAGGACCAGAACCATGCATAGCGGTTCGTCCACACACCATTAAGGAGCTGCTCCGTAAAGAGGAAAGAACGGGCAGGGAGAGACATTGGCAAAATTTCCAAGACATGCGCCATGCCAGGTTGCTGATGGGGGGTTTCGATCTCAGACGATTTAAAACCGTAATCAATTGTTTGTAATCATTGCAGGCTCAATAAGCATATATTCTCTTCTGCAAACTGCCGGTTCTGTAACATGGAGCCGGAAACCCCAGAACGTCTGCTAGTAGACTGCAAAGCAGTCTGCAGACGCAGAATTAAGGCCCTGGGATCTATGTTTCCCACCAAGCAGTATATTAGAGTTTATCTATATGCTAGGGCTAGACGAGTCGTTGTGACTTAGGGGAGGGCACAATAGACCATAGGTTGCGGTGCATACCTCTATCTATATTTATCTATCTAACACATCATTTGGTCTTGTCTGCTAAAGGGTGCAGTGCAAATTGCCGGCTAAAACAGCTCGCGCACTTCCTCAGGTCCGAGGAGGCACGGATTAAACGGTGGAGAGATTGCAAGACTTCAAGTGCTCTATCCATTTTGTCCGCTTATTCTGATTTACCATCCATTGCATGTATAGCACTAAACCGACTTGGAGTTAGGATGGAGCCTTTGCAGCAGAAGAATTCCTCAGAACTTTGGTTGGACTCGATGCCAGTACGGGTCAGGAGGATACGGAGCAACCCTGCTGCTAGGCGTTGCTCCAATGACGACAAACTTAATCTAAAACCTACCGATCCATACAGGGTTAGATCGCCGAAATAACAGCCCGCTTGGCCGGATAAAATCCGGGTAAATTCCGGTAAAAATAACCGGCTGTTGTATGAATTGTTTGACTTCATGTCGTTCTTGTTGGAAGATACTATAGTATTATATGGCATATGGGGGACGGGAGACGGGGCAATTCCTGTATCGATTTTCGCCAACAAAATATAGGGTGCGTTCGAGATGGCAATCACGACAGCAGTCAAATTTGTCAAAGCATCACGTTCTGCGTACATTTTTAACAACACTTGCAATAGCATCACGTTCTGCTGTCATTTTTTGCACGCAATTTATGCAAATAATCGGCAACACTAATTTTTATCTGCACATCAACAGCGTATTAACAAGTATGCAACACAGTAGCTGTACTGCTGCAATTATTACGTAGCTCGAACGCACCCATAGTATACTGAAGAATATATATTGCCTTAATTTGGCTAAGATATATAATATTGACCGATATACGCGGTACAAAGGTATAAAGAATTGACCTGATTTTTGCCATCAGGACACACTATCATCATGGAAAATATGATATTTGAATTTGAGTAAGATACCTCGCAGGTGGACCGATATATGCAGTATTGTATATAATATAATATTAGTTATATGGGCGCTAGTAGAAATATTGTTCTATTATAGACTGTTTTTACTAAGTTTTGACACAAATACATATTATTGTTCGGAAAACATGCTGTCTGACTTTCATTAAAATATCTCACAAATCTACCGATATTTCTGATTTTGACGTCCACATATTCGGTATCCGGGGTGTAGAAAAGATATGGTGCAATTTCCACCTTTTTTTGGTAGGCATACCTTGAGGGCACTATTACTTTGATATCTCGATGTGTGGGTTTGTGTGTTAAAAATCAATTACTTCCAATCTTTACTTATACACTGATTAAATGCATTGAACGATGTTTTTAAGGTACATTCTATCTACACAGATTTCAATAAAGCATTTGGCCGTGTCAACCATGAGATTATTATATCCAAGCTTCACAGTTACGGCGGCCAAGGTAATTCATTGGATTGGCTCTACTCATACTTTGATAGGTACTTGCAAGTTAAAATAGATGGCTATCTATAAGATGAGTACGAGATCACATTGGGAGTTTCGTAGGGATCTCATTTAGGGCCGCTGCACTTCAATATCTTCGCATCATTATTAATATTCAATATGAATATCTGCTCTACGCAAACGATCTTAAGATATTTAGAACCACATCAGATAAATTGGACATCCAGCTATCCAACACGATCTCGACGTATTATCACTTTGGCGCATCAACACCAAACTCCACCGCAATGTCAAAAAGTGTCCTGCAGTATTATACTCTCACTCTCACAGTAATATCATAGCTAAATACAAGCTCAATGGTCCGAATAAACAAAACGTTGTGGATATCAAGGATTTTGAGATTTTAGTTAACAACCTCCTCTTTGTGAAGCCCGTAAGCAAAATATCGTTGAATGCCTTCAAAGTTCTGGAACTCATTGCAAGAACTGGAAAAGAATCCGCATTTTAATTTCCCTGATTAGACTTTATCGTTCTCTAGTCCTACCAATAATCGAATATGTCTCTGTTATCTTGCCAACATAAACTGATACCCCCATCAGTTGAATTAAAAGAGTTCAAAGAAAAGTCTGCCAGCCGTGGTAATTTATCCATCATTATCCATCAACTCTCTTCACCCCAAAAAAGCAACTTCTATGCTGGTGCATGTTTGGCATTCATTAAAAATTCGAAAAACAGACTAATATCCTCTCGTTAACTAATGTTTCATTATTTTATATAAATGACTTAATTTTGATCTCGTTTTTTACTTCCTACATATAATGTATATAGACCATTGACGTTTCTTTTTTAATAAATAAAATAATATAGAGAAACGTGTTGCTTACCAAATATCTAATCTGTTCGGCTGTTCCGCTACTGGTGGCATTTGCGATTGCCCATGCAGACTCCTTTTTAGTTTTAAAATCAGCACTTTGCATAATAGTTATAAGTACAGGAAAAATATTAGCATCAATCACCGCCTGAATTTGTTGTCTATTTCCAGCCGCAATGTTAGAAATAGTCCAACACGCCTCTTTTTTAATAGTTTCGCATTGAGAGTTCAATAAATCATTTATGCACAATAGTGCATTGCAGTTTAATATGACTTGAGTCTGGACATCATCTCCCGTTACTATATTTCCAACGGCTCGAAGTGCGGCTGTAACAACTTTGTTCTGCGGATGCCTACGTATATAAATTTTATTTCAATATTAATTTTAAATAACAATAAATATTACATAAGGAGTTCTACTAGGCGACGGCAAACTCCTGCATCTATAACTGCTTGCACTTTATCGTTAGGCCCATCAGACAAGTAGCTTATAGCCCAACAAGCGTCACTTAATATATCCGGATCTGTATGATTTAGAAGTCGGGCTAAGATTGGTAGACCACTTACAATTTTAGAAAAATCCGCTGGAGGATTTTTACCACGGCATAAATTTGATAGGGTCCATACAGCATTCCTTATCAAAGTCAAGCGGTTTGAAGTACTCAGCACACTGAAATTCAGAATTGTTGTCAAAAAGAACAGTTTGAGTTAAATATCTACCATCAAGTTTTTCAATTAAGATAAATAATATTTGAAGATAAAGAATTGATTAAGTCCTAGTACCATTGCATCGTACTCAATACAACTCCAATTTAAAATGAAAAATACAAAAAACCGAATGTCAATGTGTTCCACATTTTTATATAGCTTACTGCAATAGTGGTTGAAGAATTCCCAAATTAAGTAAATGATCACGGCAACTTGGCGAATCTCCCGATATATTTCCTAAAGCCCAGACAGCCTGTTCCTGAACATCATCATGGAGACTTAATAAAAGGTTTATGAAAACAGGCACAGCACCTTCTTCTACCACAATTTTAGTTTGATTAGATGTTCCTGAAGCAATATTAGTCAACGCCCATGCAGCTTCAAACTAGTATTGGAATTTTTTAAATTGTAAATTATTTATCGTAAATTTGTATGTATTACTGCTTTGGATTTTACTTGTAAAGAGGCATTTGAATTATTCCCCAGAAAATATACTAAACGGGGAACTATCCCCTTTTGTATAACTTCCTCTATCGGCGGGTTTGGATCACGAGACAATAGCTTGCGGAATTTCTGCGTAGCATCGAGTTGATCGGCTTCATTTTCACTATGTATTTGGTCTATTAATTCCTGTTTAATTACAATATCAACAATTCCAAGACTTTGTTCACACAGTATTTTGGGAAGTTGCAATTCTACATTGTATTGATGTGCACCACTCTGCATTTCAACTTCCTTTTAAATAAAAAAGCAAAATAGATGGATGCAAAATCAACTGTAAATATATATATCTACTTGGCTTCCGCCCTCAATTTCAGATTGTTGTACTTCCGAAACATTACGCCTTTTAATTAATTGCTGTTCTCGTTTCTGTTTACGAATCTGGACACCTTCTTCTTCACGCCGTCGACGCATCTCCGTCGAATCCAAGGGCGTGTTTTTATAGCGCTGCCTATGAGTCGTTGACATGGTAATAAATAAACAATCTAATAATTTTCCAGAGACTATGCATTTACTATATAAAACAATTTTGCAGAAAAAAAAACAAATTCTTAGTCGATGATCTTAATCGATTTGTCTTTAAAATCACATTTCATCCTACTAACTCAGACGTTACACGATCAAGAAATAGCTTTCAATATGACGAACACAGATGATAGAACAAAATCGAATTGACGATTTATTGCCAAAAGAGACTAGTTAGCGAATTCGTAGTTGCCAGAATGTTCTGAAAGCAATGTTTTGTTAAAGATTTAGGGTCGCTTTAGTATACCGTCCCCGCCTTTCGGGGATTAAATGGGTATGGACGGATAGAGGAGATTCTCCAGATCAAGAATATTAATAGATATAGCCGCAGGAAACTTATAGTTTTCGAGCTATTTACGTGTAAAGTTGAAAATTTCGACAATTTAAAGTACTTATTTTTTTGTTTTGGAATGAATTATACACTTAAATTTTTCACTTTTATATCCACTAACACTTCACTAATTCGTTTTTAAACCATTTTTTTAAATTGTATCATCCAAAAATAGCTTTATTTCTTATTTTATTTAATTATTCTTAATTTTTTGTAATTTTCACAATAACAAAAGGGTTGTAAATGTCAAATAACCAGTGTTGCCATACTAAATTATTTTGCAAACGAAGAAAAATAAAATAAACGAAAGATTATACTCTAAATAAATGAACCATATATATTTTAAATATTTTATTTGAAGCGCGGCCAAAAGCCGCCAACGCAAAAAGAAGTTCCACGCGAAAAGACCTTGGTACACCCCGGTGTTAAAGCGACCAGGGTTATTTTTTTTTTTTTGAAGCGCGAAAAAGTAATATTGTGGTAGAGGGTATAACTGAATCCTTAACATCAATGCTCTCTAACGGATATTACTACTGTTACTTTTGAAGAAAATTACCGTTTCATTTTGTCCATTTGCTATTTACTTCATATTTGGCAAATAAAATTCAAACGCGTGTAGTGAGAATTGTGTAAAAAGATATATTATTTGGGTTAAAAGAGTATTATTCAAGTTTTAATTTAAAAAATTAGTGCAATTTCAACAGGTAAGTTATTATGCTTTTAAATTATTGTATTTTTAAATATTTATTAATAATAATGTTTAGATTTTGAAGAACAATCGACCAGCCGTGGCGTGATGCGTAGAAGTAATGTACTTACAGTGGCGGAGTTGAAGGGATTGTGGAACATGAGGAACTTTCGAAACAAGAGCTGCATAGCCTTTGCTGAAAAGCAAGGGCTCATACTAACCAAAAGGATTTGCAGGATGCATAAGATACCGATGGTGTTGTCTATAGCGGGGAATAGTACCGTCGGCCCATTTAGATGCCGAAAGGGATCATGACGTACGCGTTCGGCAATATCTAGGTCTAAGGGTACTTGGTTCGAGAACGCCAAAGTACCCTTAAACCAGATATTTTATGTAATGTTTTGCTTTTCGTCGCATTGGTCGCATGAGGTGGTGCGTAACAGTAGCATCGTCAAGGAACCGATTTTATCCAGCGCTACCATATGCGACTGGTATATTTACTGCTGCGAAGCTGTAGTATTATACCAAGTGTACCACCAGGAAAAGTTGGGTAAAATTGGTGGCCCTGGGAAAATAGTCCAGATTGATGAAAGCAAATTTGGAAAAAGGAAATATAACAAAGATAATATTAAAAACAAACAATAATACATAATTACTTTTATATTTTTCTTATTTCAGGCAGGAGGGTGGAAGGTCACTGGGTGTTGGGAATGGTGGAAGATGGCAGTGAGGACTTGCGGTTGGAGGTATGTTCTGACAATATCAGATCTGCTGAGGTGCTCATACCCCGGATTGAGAAACATGTTGCGCCCGGCACAATCATTTGTACCGATTGTTGCAAGACGTATGATTGTTTAACAGCTCGGGGTATGAGCATCGTCGCGTAAACCATAGCGATACTGACAATCCGTTCGTTGCGGAAGACGGGACGCATACCCAACGGATAGAATCCCAGTGGCGGGTAATAAAGAGATTTTTGGCCAGGGATAATTATAATAATCCAGAAAACTTTGCCGATCTGATTATTAAATATGTTTGGCGAAAAAATATAGCAAATAAGCATGAGGATTCATTTGTTAAATTAATTGAGGCGAAGGAGTATTAACATACAAGCCATAAAAAAAAATCGTTTTATTTTATTAAAATAATTTCTTAATTTTTTTTTCTAGGTTTTGGATTCCTGTATTTGGGGTATAATGTGTTTTCATTTCTTTCAGTTCATTTACAAAAGATGTCGATAAGATAACACTGGTTATTTGACATTTTGCAACCCTTTTGTTATTTTCAAAATTACTAAAATTTAAGAATAATTTAAATGTAGAAATAAAGCTATTTTTGGATGATATAATATAAAAAAAATGTGTAAAAACGAATTAGAGAAGTAGTGAAGAGTAGTTTGTGTGATCAACATGAACTATATTATATTACTCGCATAACTGCAGCGTATGTCTGAGTTCTGAAAGCTTTTGTGCGGGTTCATAAAAGAAGACTTTTTTTGCCGAAACTCGTGGTTAACTAAAGAGACGAAAGGCATCGAGTTCACAGTATCACTATTATGTTATACGACATTCCTTATCATATTGGGCTTCTTACGCTCAGTTTATAGTTTCATGAGCTGTGCGCTAACATGTAAGCACATAAATATGCATAATTTTATAAAAATTTAGAAAGTGGTGAATAAGGATGGAAATAAGCTAATGTTAAATATATTTGTGTACCGCGTAAATGAAGCATACGAAATTTTGAGGATATAATTTAAGATATGATTAAAAATTATACATTTCTTTTAAACTTCTAAAGCTTTATCTGTAAAACTCATAGCAATTCCTTCTAGAATATATTTATACAATTTAAAAATGGGTGAAAGCAAATATTATAATTCCCACCCCTCATATATAAGTTATGTTGAAAAGTATTTTAATCCCCTAACATTTAGTGTAAATCCAAACATTCCCAAACATTAAATCTCAGATGCTGAGTGAAGGTCGGGAATAGTAAGACCTAAAGTGTCTTCACTACAGGGAAAAGAAGAATTATCGGGCGATAAATCTCCCCTTGGTTAACGAGTTTCACAGGTTTTAGTATTAGAACTACTTCTCGGGTATGCGAAAAGTGGTCAGTGACAAAGTGGGGACCTTAGTGAGGAATTTTATAGTGGTTGTTGTAGCAGCTGAAAACGTACCTGAAGTTATTTGGAGGAATGCTGCTGAGCTGACAATCTTTGGCAGAATAAAAATCCGGGTCCGTTTCGGTTACGTAGACCCGACTGTCTACTCCCGTCGAGCCTAGCTGCTTGACCATCAACAAATTTATGCTGTCTGGGCTGATGGATTTTTTTTTATTCTTGTTGATGACACCTTGAACCTCTTCGTTGGAGAAAGCAAGTGATGCGCAATTGTTTAACGTTTTCTGCTGGGTAACACATCTCTATTCTTTGTCCGTCGAAGGGTGCAATATGAATTGTAGGCTAAAATAGCTCGCGCAACTCTTCGGGTCAGAGGAAGCACGACGAAGGGAGGGACTTCAACCCGGTAGTCGTTTCTTCTTGGATTGGACAGGGATTTGACAGTATTCCACAATTTGCTTGCACCGGCGGAGAGGTTACAAGCCTTAAGGTGCTCCACTCATTTCGTCCCTTATGATGGTTTACCAATTACCTAAGGAATTACTCATTACTTTATTAGGGGTTCTGTATTTGCGGTATAATTTTTCTTTTGTATTTAGTATATTTACTAAGTTATGATTTAACGATGACGTACAAATACACTTTTTTTTGGTCTATACAAATATGTTAAAAACTTTAAACATTTGTTTTTTATTTATAAAAGCGTTATAAAAAGAAATGAATTAAGGCGAAATTTTTCTAATAAGCAAGTCCTTTTATTCCCTCTCATTTGCTCACAAAGTTTAAAATGCATTACGATAGCAAAAAATCAGTTGAATTATATCTAGTGAGTGATAAATTACAATTATCTTATACTCGTAACTATTACCTAAGATCACAAAAATTTTTCTTACAATTTAATTCTTACTTTGCGATCTGAAAGTAAAAGCTGTTATGCATACATAGCACGGCACTGCATAGACGAAAATTGCATGTGAAACATAGCCCCAGTTATACGCAGCGCATAGAAATTCAGCTGGTTTTTAATATTTGTGAGAACACCTAATTGTGAAATATAATAAATGCCAAAATTGAAGTGCAGTGTTACCAAATTGGAGATTCCCCCAAATTTAGAAGTTAAAAGAGTCGAATGGGATTTTTTAGGGGCATTTTCACGAGTTTTCTTTACTTTAAATATACATTTTTTTTTACCGAAAAAGAGGTTATAGATAAATTTCACAAATTGTTGGCAACCTCTGCGAATGGCAGGCACCTTGCCCTGGGTCAGGGGCTTAAGTCGCAAGGCATTCTCGGCATCTCCCAACCGGGGTGAGTAGTGCTGCCTAGCACCTGGAGGGACTCACGGACCTAGCGGATACCAACGCGGAGCACAGTTCACAAGGAAGTTGCCCAGGTGAACATGCACCACAAGGCGTCGGCCTCGGCGGAAGGTTGCAACGAAAGCGGTTTAGCTTCGATTGGATAGTCGCAAAACAGCCCTTCACTGCGGACTTCATCAAGTTGGCGGATGGCATCCTTCCAGCATTTCTGCAAAGGGGGGAGCAGGTCCTATCGCCCCTGCAAAGGTTATCATCATACCCAAGGTAGGAAGGAAAGACTACTCATTGGCGAAATCCTTTACGCCAATCAGTCTAACTTCCTACTTAAGAGTAAGGAAAAGATCATTGACTACGAAATACGAAGGTGCTGAATGAAGGCTGGATCGGTGCTTTTGACAATACGTCTCGCGAAAGCGTGTCAAGAGTTGTGGACGATCTTCTTCAGCTGCTAACGAGCAATGGAATCTGCTGTCAGGGATATGCGGACGACATTGTTATCATAGCCACAGGTAAATTCGTAGACACTTTTTGCGGTATTGTACAAAGGGGATTGGGGCTGGCAAAAGGGTGGTGTAGTGGGGTGAGTTAAAACATCAACACCTCAAGAACTACAATCATACCGTTTACCAGATCAAGGTCACTGCCAGGCCTCAGAAATATATCCCTTGCAGGCATAGAGTTGGAGATGACTAACATGGTCAAGTATCTAAGCCTCAGGCTGGATTCCACTCTACACTGGAAGCAGCATGTGGACCAGACCTTAGTCAGAGCTACGAAAGCGCATGAGCGCCAATGAGATTTTAAATCGACTTGCTGTGAAATCCTGGGGCTGCAACCCGAGGATTATCACTTGGATGTACACCATGATTGTGAGACCGATCAGGAGGAGGAGCGGGGGCTTTGACTTCAACAAGTCAATTCCCACAACAGCCGGTTCTGCGATACCGGAATTGACCCGGATTTTATCCAGCCAAGGGCTGTTATTTCGACGATCTAACCCTGTTTGGATCGGTAAGTTTTAGATTAAGTTTGTCGTCATTGGAGGAACGCCTAGCAGCAGGGTTGCTCCGTATCCTCCTGACCCGTGCTGGCACCGAGTCCAACCCGGGCCACGAGATATTCTACTGCTGCGTATGCGCCAAAAAGCCTCCATCCAAATTCCACCTCGGTTAGGTGCAATACATGCAATGGATGGAGCCATCTTAAGACCTGCTCGGGCCTTAAGACACACAGGGAGTGGACCACGAGTTACGTGGCCCCATGCTGTCAACGCAATAATGCGACATCTGCCTCAACGGCCGTGCAACCTGCACCATGTTCGCGCACTGCGCTGCCACTCCAGTCGAGTGGCCAAGATAGGACCTCCACGGCCCTAAGGAGCTCACACAGACAGCATAACTCCCAATCTGACCAACCGAGAAGACATGACGATCGGGTTGAAATTCAATTCGATGGCCATGCCTCCTCGGACCCGAAGAAGTGCGCGAGCTACTTTAGCCGGCAGTTTATACTGCACCCTTCGACCGACAAGGCCAAACGATGTGTTACCCGACGGCTGCGCAAAATGCCAAAAGACTGCGCACCACTTACTTTCACCGATGGGGAGGTTCAGAGTGTCATCAAAAAGGCGAAATCGTCTAAGTCCATCGGCCCTGACGGAATAAGCATGCTGATGTTAAAACATCTAGGCCCAACGGGAGTAAACTAACTCACCAAGGTCCTCAACCTGTCGATATCCACTCTTCAAATACCCGATGTGTGGAAAGTCGGAAGAGTGGTCCCACTGCTGAAACCTGGGAAACCCGCCAACAAAGGGGAGTCTTATCACCCGATAACTCTCCTTTCCCCAGTAGTGAAGACACTTGAGGCCTTGTTACTCCCGTCATTCACCCACCACCTGAGCCTAGCAGACCATAAGCATGGCTTCCGTAAAGTGCACAGTACCACCACAGCACTTAGCGTCATAAACGCCCAGATAGTTCATGGCCTGAACCAGAAGCCACCCTGCGAGACGACGATCCTCGTAGCGTTGGACTTGTCAAAAGCTTCTGACACAGTCAATCACGCAACGCTACTTGAGGACCTGGAACAATCAACGCTCCCTCCAGGGCTGAAGCGGTGGACCATGAACTACCTGAGCGGTCGACACTCATCCGTACTATTTCGAGGTCAAAACTCCAAACTCAGGAAAATTAAACAGGGGGTTCCGCAGGGCGGTGTCCTCTCCCCGTTACTGTTAAATTTCTACATTTCAAAACTTCCCCAGCCACCAGCGGGAATTTCAATGACCTCGTACGCAGATGACTGTACGATATTGACGTCGGGCAATGGAATCGATGGCATGTGTTCAAAAGTAAACGGCTACCTCTCCGATCTTTCTCGCTTCTTTTCTGCAAGGAACCTAACACTCTCCCCCACTAAATCCACAGCGACCATCTTCACCAATTGGACGAAGGAGTACAGACTGGACCTGAACATTTCAGTCGATGGCACAAAAATTCCGACAGTAAATAACTCTAAAATTTTAGGCGTCACTTTGGACAGTCTGTGCTCTCTCACTCCTCATACGACCGCGATAACTGCCAAAGTACAGAGCCGCAACAAAATCCTCAAGTCGCTTGCCGGCAGCTCATGGGGAAAAGACAAAGAAACGTTGTTGGCAACATACAAGGCAATCGGCCGGCCGGTCCTCAATTATGCAGCCGCAATATGGTCGCCTGGAGGCAGTGACAAGCAGAATAAGAAGCTTCAGACTTGTCAGAACACTGCACTCCGGACTATCATGGGGTGCCTCTTGATGTCCCCAATCGAACACCTACATAGCGAGGCCCGTATGCTTCCGGTTAAGGAACATAACGAGCTCCTCTCCAAGCAGTTTCTGCTGGGATGTTTTCGCAGAAACCACCCCTGCAGACGATTGCTTGCAGCGGAGCAGCCTCCTAGGAACATCAAGAAGTCCTTCCTTGACTACGTCGACGACATCAGACAGCACGCCGACCAGACTTCGGACGCAACTAACTTCAGACAGGCACTGACCGCCATTCACAGTGGAGCCATTAACACCTTCACCGACTCCCTCTCAGTGAATGGCGTAATACGAGTCAAACCACCACCCATTGCAGACACAGAGCTCGAGTTGCCTCGCGAATCTAGAGTGACCCTCGCGCAACTTCGTTCTGGATACTGTAGCAGGTTAAACTCCTACCTATCCAGAATAGACCCTGACATACCAAACACATGTCCTGCATGCAATGAGTCTCCGCATGACACTAACCACCTCTTTGCATGCCCTACAAACCCCACTCATCTAACACCCCTCTCCCTATGGTCCGACCCCGTCGAAACAGCTCGTTTCCTGGGCCTTCCGTTAGATGACCTCGACGACAACGAATCTAGAATTTATCACCCAAACGGGGATTAGATAATCGTTACAACAACAACAACAACTTCAACAATCAAGCTGCAACGACTTGCCTGCAAGTGCGCGTTAGGCGACATCTGCACGTGTCCGACTGCAGTACTGGAATTAATGCTAGAGATTACACCGCTACATATAATGATCAAACAGACAGCCAAACAGACCCAGTTTCATATGACGGCAGAAGGGTTTGGCAGAGGGAAGGTAATCTCGTCCCAACAGATGAAGGCTCTAAGTGACGAAATGCCACTAGCCCTTCTCCCAAGGGACAGCATTACCAATGTAGTAAGCTTCACTAGGAAGTTCAAGGTTACCCTTGTCAGTAAGGCGAAATTGAATGATTTAACGCTAGACCTACTGCAAAGGGATAGTACTATTAAGTATAATACCGACGGCTCGAATACATCGGCGGATATTGGTGTAGGGGTTGCAGGACCACGCACCAATCTCTCCATGCCCATTGGAAGTTTTCCAAGCATGTTCCAAGCTACTAGTGCAGGAGTGTATAGAACGGCTGCACAGTCTGTGAAACCGCAACCAAGTGAAAGCCTTTCGTCGCGATTGGTCTGCACACCAATAAGGAGCTACTCCGTAGTGGAGAAAGAGCAGGCAGGGAGAAACATTAGCAACAACTCCAAGGCATGCACCATGCCTGGTTGCTAATGAGGGGGTTACGACCTCAGAAAGTTTAAATAAGTTCCGGCTACTTGTGGCGTTCTACCCTGGCCATTGCAGGCTCAAGAAGCATATTTACAACATGGGATTGGCCTCTTGTGCAAACTGTCGGTTCTGCGACATGAAGCCGTCTGCAGACGCAGAATTAGAGCCCTTGGATCCATGTTTCCTAATAGGGATCACATCACCTCACTAGCCCTAGCAGTATATTGGAGTTCATCAATGTGCTGGGGCTAGGTAAGTCGTTGTGACTTAGGGGAGGGCACAATAGACATTGGGTCGCAATTCCCTTACAGCCGGTTCTACGTCACCGGAATTGACCCGGATTTTATCCGGCCAAATACTGTTATTTCGGCGATCTAACCCTGTTTGGATTCGGTGAGTTTTCTGTCTGCGCTAAAGGCTCCATCCAAAGTCCACCTCGGTTAGGTGAAACACATGCATGAATGGAGCCATCTTAAGACCTGCTCAGGCCTTAAGGCTCATAGGGGTGGATCACTAGTTATGTGGCCCCATGCACCCAACGCAATATTGCGACACCTACCTCAACGGCTGTGCAACCTGCACCATGTTCGCACACTGCGCCTGCTTCTTCGCACACTCTGTTCCGTGTGTCAGACCATAATACGCCGGACCGTCACATCAGTCAAGTGGGAATACTGCCTATGCGGATATTAAAGCTGCAACGACCACCACCTACACGCATCTCTCTTACCCCCAGTATCCCACCGGACACCTGAGACAAACGCGACATCTCTACAATTTAACTGCAACGGACTCCAGAGGAAGATCGAGGAGATAGTTGCATTTATGAGCCGGGAACGCGTATTGATAGTTGCGGTTCAAGCAACCAAGTTAAACAGCCGCTCAGATCTTCTGAGTTGTGCAGGTTTCAACGTTTTACGTAAAGCTCACGAGCGTGATAATGGTAGAGGCCTCACCTTCATACTGAAGTCGACTTCGATCGCGGAGATATATAGATAAAGATTGAGGTATGCTGGTGGAACAGATTGACGACTCGACATTCTTCCCAGTAAATGACGAAGCCCCCACCAGAGTTATGGGCACCTGTACCAGCTCGCTAGATATTACCATCGCTAGCGGTGGTCTGATAAATAGCATAACCTGGCGACCTATGTTAGCTCTCGTATCAGACCATCTGCCCATAATTATCTCGATCGAGAAACCTCCTGACTTTATTTCTGTGGACAGCCGCTCTTATGTTAACTTTAACAAAGCTAACTGGGTCGGCTTCACAGAATTTACTGAGAGCACCTTCAACGCACTACCCATTCCTACGGACGTCATCGTTGGCGAGCGTCAATTCCGCAAGGTGATCGCTGCTGCTACTGCTCGCTTCATACCGGCTGGAAGAATCGCGGAACTCCGCCCTAATTTTCCAGCCGAAGCAGCTGTACTAGCAAACGAGCCCGACACCTTACGCCATGCCGATACCTGTGATCCCCGAATAAGGGATCTAAACCTGGAGATTCGGCAAATGGTAAATCATCATAAGCGGACAAAATGGATAGAGCACCTGAAGTCCTGCAACCTCTCCACCGGTGTGAGTAAGCTTTGGACTACTGTCAAGGCCCTGTCAAATCCGAGAAGACATGACGATCGGGTTGAAATTCAATTCGATGGCCATGCCTCCTCGGACCCGAAGAAGTGCGCGAGCTATTTCAGCCGGCAATTTACACTGCACCCTTCGACTGACAAGGCCAAACTACGTGTTACCCGACGGCTGCGCAAAATGCTAAAAGACTGCGCACCACTTACTTTCACCGATGGGAAGGTTCAGAGTGTCATCAAAAAGGCGAAATCGTCTAAATCCATTGGCCCTGACGGAATAAGCATGCTGATGCTAAAACATCTAGGCCCAACGGGAGTAAATTATCACAAAAGGGCCTCAACCTGTCGATATCCACTTTTCAAATACCCGATGTGTGGAAAGTCGGAAGAGTGGTCCCACTACTGAAACCTGGGAAACCCGCCAACAAAGGGAAGTCTTATCGGCCGATAACTCTTACAATTCAACTGCAACGGACTCCAGAGTAATATCGAGGAGATAGTTGCATTCATGAGCCGGGAGCGCGTAACGATGGCTGCGGTCCAAGAAACCAAGCTAAACAACCGCTCAGCTCTTCTGAGTTGTGCAGGTTTCAACGTTGTACGTAAGGATCGCGAGCGAGATAATGGTGGAGGCCTTGCCTTCATATTGCACAACACCGTGCAATATCGTCTAATCGATGTTGACATCGACCGTAGGGACACTACCCTAGAATGTCAGGGTATAGCTGTCCGGTCAGGCGCTGTCGAGCTCGAAATATTTAATATATACATCCCCCCAGTTACATGTTGCCCAACAGGATATCACCCGAACATAGATGCGCTACTTCGTGGTGAAAACCGTTTGGTGCACTCCTGCCTGTCAAATGATTGTAGGGGTATGGAGCTGGCGGAACAGATAGACGATTCGACATTCTGCACAATGAATGACGAAGCCCCCACCAGAATTATGGGCAGCTGTAATAGCTCGCCAGATATTACCATCGCTAGCGGTGCTGTGATAAATAGCATAACCTGGCGACCTATGTTAGCTCTCGCATAATTATCTCGATCGAGAAACCTCCTGACTTTATTTCTGTGGACAACCGCACTTTGCTAACTTCAACAAAGCTAATTGGGTCGTCAACGTTAGCGAGCGTCAATTCTGCAAGGTGATCGCTACTGCTACTGCTCGCTGGTAACCGTGTGGAAGAATCGCGGAACTCCGCCCTGCTGATCCCAGTGATCCCCGAATGAGGGATCTCAATTTTGAGATTGGCCAAATGGTAAATCAGCATAAGTGGAAAAAATGGATAGAGTACTTGTAGTCCTGCAATCTCTCTACCGGTGTGAGTAACTTATTTAATCCAAAAAGACATGACGACCGAGTTTAAATTCAATTCGATGGCCATGCCTCCTCGGACCCGAAGAAGTGCGCGAGCTATTTTAGCCGGCAATTTACACTGCACCCTTCGGTTAACAAGACCAAACGATGTGTTAGCCGACGGCTGCGCAAAATGCCAAGAGACTGCGCACCACCTACTTTCACCGATGGGGAGATTTAGAGTGCCATTAACAAGGCCAAATCGCCCAAGTCCATTGGCCCTAATGGAATAAGCATGCTGATGCTAAAACACCTTGGCTTGACGGAACTAAGATATCTCACCAGGGTATTCAACTTGTCGATGACCACTCTTCAAATACCCGAAGTGTGGAAATTCTGAAGAGTGATCCCACTACTAAACCTGGGAAATCCGCCAACAAAGGATAGGTAGTCTTATCGTCCGATAACTCTGCTCTCCCCAGTAGTGAAGATACCTGAGGGCTTGCTACTCCCGACATTCACTCATAACCTGAGTCTAGCAAACTGTCAGCATGTTTTCCGAAAAGTGCACAGCTCCATCACAGCACTTAGCGACATAAACGCCCAAGTAGGTCTTGGCCTAAACCATGAGCCACCCTGCGAGAGGGTGATTCTCGTAGCGTTGGACTTGTCAAAAGCTTTTGACAAAGTCAACCACACAACGATACTTGAGAACATAGAACAATCCACGCTCCCTCCAGGACTGAAGCGGTGGACTATGAACTACCTGAGCGGTCGGCATTCAACCGTACTATTTCGAGGTCTAAACTCCAAACTTAGAACAAATTAACAGTGGTTCCGCAGGGCGGTGTTCTCTTCCCGCTACTGTTTAGTTTCTGTACTTCGAAACTTCCCCAACCACAAGAGGGAATTTCCATGAGCTCGTGGTGGAATCGATGGCATGTGCTCGAAAGTAAACGGCTATCTCCCCGACCTTTCTCGCTTTTTCTCTGCAACGAGTTTGAGACTCTCCCCCACTAAATCCACAGCGACCCTCTTTACAAATTGGACAAAGGAGTACAGATAGGGTCTAAACATTTCAGTCGATAGCATTCAAATTCCGACAGTCAACAACCATAAAATTTTAGGCGTTACATTCGACAGCCTGTACTTCCTCACTCCTCACACGACCGCGATAACGGCCAAAGTACAGAGCCGCAACAAAATCCTCTAATCTCTTGCCGGTAGCTCTTGGGGAAAAGAGAAAGAAACGTTGCTGGCAACTTACAAGGCAATCGGCCGGCCAGTCTTAAACTATGATGCTCCAATATGATTGCCTGGATGTGGTGCAACGCAGACGAAGAAGCTCCATACTTGTCAAAACACTGCACTTCGGACTATCACGGGATGCCTCTTGATGTCCCCAAAGAACAGCTACATAGTGAGGCCCGTATGCTTCCGGTGAAGGAACATAACGAGCTGCTCTCCAAGCAGTTTCTGCTGGGATGTTTACGTAGAAATCACTCCTGCAGTCGTCTGCTTGAAGCGGAACCGCCTCCTAAGAACATCAAGAGATCCTTCCTTGATTACTTCGACGACATTGGAAAGTACGCCGACCAGACTTCGGACGCAACGAACCTTAGACATGCACTGACCGCCATTTACAGTGGAGCCATCAACACCTTCACCGTCTCCCTCTCAGTGAATGGGGTACTTGAAGTCAAAACACCACCCATCGCAGACGTAGAGCTCGATCTGCCTCGAATCCAGAGTGACCCTCGAAACATATACTTGTTAGAACAACGACAACCATAGGTCGCGCTGTATACCTCTATTCAATCTATCTATCTAACTCTTATCATTTTACGACAATTTCTTTGTCTGGCAATTTGACATATTTCTATTATTTTCTAATCTTTGAAAGCGATAACGTTAAACCTGATAGGCTAATTGAAGATCTATTTTCTTAACACAATAATTATAAGCACAGATTTGTTGTACCATGTTATTTAAAGAAACTTGTGGATTTGGAATTGATTGAGTGTAATTCCAAGAACCATCTGATCCAGATTTGATTTTCACGATATGGCACATAAGCTGGCGCACAGAAACTTTAAAAGAAAGATGTAATAACGTAATGTAATTTTCTTTGTTTTTTAGCAAAGCAAACAAATAAAGTAATATAAAATGATTTTTTTATTTATAATTTTTAATATATTATTAAGTCAAAAATATTTGATTTTTTATATTAATAAATATTCTTATACTTGAATATATAGCTTATATAAAAATAATTTTATTTTAATTATATTATTAATTTAATAATTATTATTTTTTAGAGGGTTTTTGTTGGAGTTTAGGGAGAAAAATTGTTGATAGTTGTGAACACTGTTTAAGTGTCATAACAGACGCAATGAGAGAGAGAAAAGAAAGCAGCGATGAAATAACACATGGCATAGAAATTCAAAATTCAATATATTTCCTGCGTTCAGTAATCGTTCGTTGGTGAAAAAACATAACTTAGCGAGAGAGTATTATTTGTCAAGGAAAAACAAAAAGCTTACTCTTCAACTCTTATTGCGTAAGAGTTAAGTAAAACTCACCGCATAAGTATTATTCTGTGAGCAATAAATAACTGTTATCAAATAACTCTTATTTTGCAAACGAAAAATAAAAATCAAAATATAACTACTGTATAATTTTGTGAAAAAATATAAATTGAAAAATAATTATTGAACTTAATTTTTTGCGGATTTCCTCATAAGGGGTCAGCTTTGGTATACCGTCCCAGGCTTTCGGGGATAAAATGGGATGGGCGGATAGAGGAGATCCTCCAGATCAAGAATATATATAGATATAGCCGCGGGAAACTTATAGTTATCGAGATGTTTACGTTTAAAGTTGAAAGTTTCAACTATTTTAAGTACGTATTTTATCAAATTAGAATGAAATATATACATATATTTTTCACTTTTATATCCACTAACACTTCGATAATTCGTTTTTAGACCTACATACATATATTTTATATTATATGTTGCAAAAATAGCTTTATTTCAATATATAAATTATTCTTCGAAAGTCTGGGACGGTATACTAAAGTTTTACCTTTTGTTTTAATAAGAACAAAATTTTAATAAATTCAACTAATTGTATAGCTTACTAGATACAGATATAATTGATGAGAATTTTATCCATACATATGGCGTCAGCAGGGCTACAAAGAAGTCTTATAGTTAACGTTAATCGCCAATACTGAACTTATATCTATGACCAGAGACATACATACATACCCTATCCTACTCCTTGAAAGCATTAAAAATTGTTATGTGGTAAAGATATATCAAATACAATAGGTGGATTATTAGGTTTATAATTGATATCACAAGTTGATGCGTTCACATATATAATATTTCCGTCTGATGTAATACCATAACCCTCGTGGATATGCCCAAATACATGATATTTGGGTTTAACTCGTTTTTGCACCGTAGTTAGCAAATCTACACAACCAGCACGAACCCCAGAGCAGCACAAATCTCCGTGGCCCACGGGTGGCGTATGTGTTATCAATATATCCACATTATTTGGTATGCGGTTCCAAACATTTATACATGCTTCTCCACGGGGTAAATTAAACGCCCAATTACAAAATTCTGGCTGCCAGGGAGTACCATATATACGTACACCCATTACATTAATTAATTGGTCTTCTATATAGGTACAATTTACTAAAACATCTCGAATGTTTTTAGTTTGTATAGCACTTTCAATGTCTTCTCTGGGGTTTCCCAGCATCGGCATACTGTCAAGGCTGAAGCGGCCAGTGTGTTTAGTGCTGTACACGAGAGCAATAAATTATAATGACGCTTAAAGCTTTCATTCGTATTAGACATACCGCCTAGCAGGACACTTATTTAAAGAACCTTCAGTAAAGGTTTTATCAAAACTTAGCTCGTGATTTCCCGCAATGATTATCTTATGCTTATGGGGAAGAGTAGCAATCCATTTATCAAAATCAACTACTTCTTCTAATTTACCACATTTCGTAAAATCCCCAGCATGGATAAAGATGTCGCCGTCCGGTATATCAAATTTTAGGTAAGGTGTTAATGAATGTGTATCACTCATACAAACAACTCGAATTTTGTTATGATCTTTCTGTTTCACCGCCTTATTCATAGACACTTTTATCAGACGCTGAGTTTTGGAAATCTCGTGCCAAGCAGCTGTTGGATCATTGGTTAATGGGTGTACTGATATTGAATTTTCCAAATCCATGTTTACCGGTATTAATCACACATAAGCCATTTGAAGAAAGTACATAAAGGGGCACCTCGGCAGGCAATTAAAAATTGCTAAAAATCTAAATTGCTAGCAATATTGCCAGTGGAAACTGCACATTGCGAATGTTTAGCAATTGATGTCTAAATACTGTAACGGGTTTCTCGACAAATCGTACTCCTCTCAACTCACTCTTGATTTAGATAAATGGATTGTTAGATAAAAATAAAATTCAGGAATTCTAACCTTGGAAAAACCAAAAGTGCTCGGGAGCTTTGCCCATCTTTGCTTTTCCATACTCGATGTTAGCTCCGCACTGCTCAATATGCTTATGCGGCTAAACTTTATAAAGCTATTTTTTCACTCGTTGCACCTTGAAAATATGGATGTTCTTGCAAATAATCATCCATGTACTTAATTTTATCTTGCTCTCTCGAACCTTTGTACTGGTATACACGCTTCCTGCTCTTTCGACTGTGATGATCTTTTTACTGGTCCACACGCTTCCTGCTCTCCCGACTGTGAGGAATCTTGTACTGGTGTACGCGCGTCCAACTCTTTCGACTGTCAAAACCCTTTTACTGGTATAACCACTTCCTGATCTTCCGACTGTGATGATCCTTGTACTGGCACACACGCATTCTGTTCTCCCAACTGTGAGGACCCTTGTACTGGTACACAACTTCTTCCTTTTCTGACTTTTAAGACCATTTTATTTGTTCCCCCGATTCCTGATTTTCCACTGCTTATAACCGTGCTGACAAACGCTTCCAGAACGATTCCAACGTAGCATAAATGACCTCTACTGAACATTGTGTCTCTTCTTTTTCTTCTATCTTTAATTCCACTTGAAAGACATTAGATTAGATTAGATAATGATTGAGGTATGCACCGTGACCTATGGTCTATTTTGCCCTCCCCTAAGTCACAGCGACTCATCTAGCCCTAGCATATTGATGAACTCCAATATACTGCTAGGTACCAATGAGGCGATGCGATGCCTGGTTGGAAACATGGATCCCAGGGCCTTGACTCTACGTCTGCAGACTGCTGTGCAGTCCACTAGTAGGTGTTCTGGGGTTTCCGACTCCATGTCACAGAACCGGCAGTTTGCAGAGGAGACCAAGCCCATGTTAAATAAATGCTTGTTAAGCCTGCAATGTCCGGTGTAGAACGCGACCAGAAGCCGAAATTTGTTCCTCGGGAGATTGATAACGGTTTTAAACCGTCTTAGGTTACAACCCCCCATTAGCAACTTGTCATGGCGCATGCCTTGGAGATGTTGCCAGTGTCTCTACCTGCCTGCTCTTTCCTCTTTACGAAGCAGCTCCCTAATGGTGTGTGGACCAACCGCTACGCAAGGTTCTGGTCCTACCACGTTTGTAGAGGCTGCAGAGCGGGCCAACTCGTCAGCAAGCTCAGTTCCTGCTATATCCCTGTGACCAGGCACCCAGATGAGGTGCACTCTGTTGAGACTTGATAGGCTGTTCAGCCATTCTATACACTCCTGCACTAGTAGCGATTTGACCTCAAAAGCCGAGATCGCTTTAAGTGCTGCCTGACTATCGCTGAGTATGGCGATGCTCTTATTGCGGTAGTCGCGTTGGAGGTTTATTTCTACACACTGACTTATAGCATATACTTCCGCCTGGTCCTGCCACCCCTGCACCAATCCCCTTCGCCGTTTTCGAGCTGTCAGTGTACCACTTGATAGTACTGTTCCTTAGTAGTATGTCCAGCGTGGAATCGTTACATTCTGCCTTACTGCCAAGGGTAACCCTGAACTTCCTAATGAAGCTTACTGTTTGGTAATGCTGTCCCTCGGAAGAAAGGCCAGTGGCATTGCGTCACTTAGGGCCTTCATCTGCTGGGACGAGATTACCTTCCCTTTGCCAAACCCTTCTGCTGACATTTGAAGCAAGGTCTGTTTGGCCGTTTGCTCGATCACTATATGTAGCTTGAAAGACATATATCTCAACATTTAATTTATTTTCTCCATGGCTCTTCGTAACCGTGACTGTATATTTGACTTTATTCCATTTGTTGCCACCCCACGTTGCTTCAGCTCATTTTTCAGTTGTGGAATCTTCAGGACAAACTTGCCATTTTAAAAACAATTCTCTCTATGGGAATTTATTTCACAATCCCACTTTGACACCAATTGTAACGGATTTCTCGATAAAATTGTGTACCTATAACCCACGCTTGAGTTCGATCACTGGATTGTTAAATAAAAGTCCCAATTTAATGGCTATACACTTATCTTTATTTCTAATTCAAACTTAACGCTCTACTACTCATTATCCGAATTTACAACTTTTTTATTATATTTCAACTACTCTGAACACGGCAACACTCTAATTAGAACAGTCCTTGCTGCACAATCCATCAGCCATTATATAGTAGATCTTTAACAAAACTTCGTCGCTGGAACATTCTGGCAACTACAAATCCGCTGTCCAGTTGCTTCTGGCAATTTATCGCCGATTCAATTTTATTCTATTATCCGTGTTCGTCACAATTTTATACAGAGTAAAGCTAAGACGGCAATTACACGTTACAAACTGAACGTGCAGTTAACACAAATCTAGTTATAGCACAAACAGTCACCGACATTCCTCCCTTCCGTACTCACCACCGTATCAAACCAAATTTGTCAAAAGTTATGCCCGTAGTTGCAACGCAGAAATCTGTTGTTCTCTTTTGTTTTCATTTCACCAATGTTGCCACTCTTCTATTTGTGTACATGATTTCACTTATTTTGTTTTTTAGTTTTAATTTTTCATAATGTAGAAGCTCAAAACTTAAATCCAACTATTAAAAATAGTTTACATATGTATAAATAAGTGTATTTGACTGTGATTTTGAGTTATTTTAAGTATATTTCAAATATATTTAAGTTCATTTTTTAATTACCACAAATTATCGAGATTACCAACCCTGTTTTGCAAGAGATTGTTCTGTTGTTGTTGTTATGTACACCCGACTGTTATGGGAACGGAAGAGAGAGAGATTGCTCTCTCACTCTCAGCTTACTCGTACAGTTGATCCGGTCCACGATTTTACGTCGGTGACTGGTTGTGCCATTAGAGCGTTGTCGTGTTCAGAGCAACTGCGACATAAAGCAAAAAGTTGTAAGTTCAAACAGAGAAAGTATTGTAACGGATTTCTCGATAAATCGTCTAACTATAACTCACTCTTGAGCTCGATCACTGGATTGTTAAATTAATTTCCCAATTTAATGCTATACACTTATCTTTATTTCCAATTCCAACAACTTAACACTTATTGCTCGCTATTCGAACTTACAACTTATTGCTTATAGCTTAATTGCTCTTTACACGGCAACAATCTAATTAGAGCTGTCCCTGCTACACAATGCGGCAGCCCTTATATAGTAAATTTTTAACAGAAGTTCACTCCTAAATTCGGGCAACTACGAATTCGCTGTCTAGCTGCTTCTGGCAGTTTATCGTTGATTCTGATTTGTTCTGGTATTCGTGTTCGCTACACTGCCCTACAGCTAAGTCTGATCGTCCCGACTGGACATATTTGCCGTACCAAACGCTGCAAGCCGTTCCAGATGAACCACCTTCATTTTATTCCTTGGTCTTCCAATGGTCTGTATGCGATACACTACATCATTGAGTCGTTTAATAACCTAGTATGCTCCTTCCCAATTGCACTGTAATTTGGGAGATAACCCTTTCTTTCCGTATGGGTTACATAACAATACCCAATCGCCTTCAATAAAACCTTCAGAGTTCATTGCCTTGTCGTATTTTGCATTCATCTTATCGCTCATAATTTTGGTGCGCTGTCGCACCATAGCAGGTATATCCCTCATCTCATCTTCTACGATGCTATTGAAATCCTTAGCATTCCTTCCTCCGTTGGAGTTAATTCCAAATTTCAAATCAATCGATAGTCGAAGACTATTACCAAAAATTACCTTTGGTGGAGTCTGCCCCGTTGTTTCATGTACAGCTGACCGATAAGCCATCAGGAACAAGGATATATGGGTATCCCAATATTTTTGATACTTGTCCACAATTTTTCTCAAATATTCTTCCAAAGTTCGATTGAATCGTTCCAGCACCATGCCATCGGACTGCGGATGTAGTGCAGTTGTACGGGTTTTCCGGACACCCAGCTTCTGGCATATCTCCTGTATTAGAGCTGACTCAAAATTTCTTCCTTGGTCAGAATGTAATTCTATTGGAACACCATATCTCGATACCCAATCGTTGATGAATACATCCGCTACTGTTCCTGCCTCTTGGGTAGGAATTGCGTATACCTCTGGCCATTTGCTGAAATAGTCCATGACCACCAAACCATATCTGTTTCCTAATTAACTGATAGGAAATGGAACAGCTACATACATCGCTCAAACGGCGCACCTGAATTGTACTGCTTTAGCAGCAATGCACTCGACACAATTGGCGATCCACTCCGTAACTGATTGACGACAACCAACCCAATAAAATCTTTGTTTTAATTTCTCTAAGGTTTTAGTGATACCCATGTGTCCTCCACTTGGACCGTTGGGCAGCTTGTTGAGAACTTCAGGAATTCTTACTTTTGGAACAATCATCAGAGCTCGTAAATTTTGCCCATCTTCGCTTTCCCATACGCGATGCAAGCAGCCAGACACTAACACTTCAAACTATTCCATGGTGCCTAATAAGCCTTTGCAACTGGGCTTTCTGCAGCTATTTCTTCTCTCGTTGGACGTTTATTCATCTCCAATCCATGTATTACACTTTTCACATTTGGGTCCTCTTGCTGACATTTCCGTAACTTCTCTGGATCCCAGTCTGATGTTATAGTTATTAATCGGACATCTATAATGTCTTCTTTGGCCTCAGCTCGTCGTTTACGCCCAACTGGTTTATTGGGCTTGTTACAGTTGCGTGCAATATGGCCACTTTTTCCACAGTTGAAGCGCTTCCGTAGATTTTTCCAGTGCTTTCTGTATGTTGTAAATTTTTTTCAAGTAATTGGTTCACCCAAGTGTTCCTCTATTTCTACTTTGTGAGCTTTAAATGTTTGAATGCAAAGCAGAGAAGCAGAGATGCAGTGTCCTGTGTCAGAGCATACGAAACGGTTTCTGCAAACGTCAATTTTGGACATGCTAATGCAGCGAAGCATGTATTGTTATCTCGTATTCCATTGACGAAAGTCTGAATTTTCGTGTCCTACGTGGAATACATTAAATGGATTTATGTGCATAAACTAAGTGAGCTAACCTCTTACTCTCTGTAGCAAACTCCTGCAACGACTCATTGGCCTTCTGGCGGCGATTTCTCAACTCGATTTGAAAGATCTGCTTCCTGTGTTCACTACCATGCCGTTTTTCTAATGCACCCATCAACGTTTCATAACTACTCGCCTCGCAGTTTGGAATGGTCTAAAATATCTCCGATGCAGATCCTTTTAATGCAACGAACAATGCAGCTACTTTATCTTCAGCGTTCCAATATTTGAAGATGCCGTCTTTTCGAATTGAAGCTTAAAAACGTGGAACGGAACAGTGATCAGACAACATCAAAGGATGGAGATTTTACTTTGGCAGAAGCTGTTTACACAATTGGC